CGCACGCTTCGTGGCCCCACAGGGAGCTCCACCAAAGGTCCCAATGGCGCAGCCCGCATACTTCCCCGCCATCCATGTCGGCACAGTCTCGCACGTTTCGTGGCCCCACACGGATCTCCTCCGAAATTTCCAGTGGCGCAGCCCGCATGCCGCCACCAATTTCGGCGCATCGTCACACGTTTCGTGGCCACCGAAGGCCCCAGTCGCATGCGTCCCCGCCACCGATTTCGGCACGCCCCTCACACGCTTCGCGGCCTCACAGGGAGCTCCACCGAAGGGCCCAATGGCGCAGCCCGCATGCGTCCCCGCCACCAATTTCGGCACACCCCTCATACGTTTCGTGGCCCCGCAGGGAGCTCAACCGAAGGTCCCAATGGCGCAGCCCGCATGCGTCCCCGCCACCAATGTCGGCATAACTCACAGGATTTGTCGCCCCATAGGGAGCTTCTCCCAAGGTCCCAATGGCGCAGCTCGCATGCGACCTCGCCAAGCATTCCGGCGCACCCTGACACGTTTCGTGGCCCCGCCGGGGGCTCCACCGAAGGTCCCCATGGCGCAGCCCGCATGCGTCCCCGCCGACGATTTCGGCACACCCGTCTTCACGTTTCATGGCTCATAAGGAACCCCACGGAACGACCCAATGACGCAGACCGCATGCGCCCCCGCCACTCATGTCGGCACACCCCTCACCCGTTTCGTGGCCCCACTGGGAGCTCCACCTAAGGCCCCGACGGCACAATTCGCATGCGCCCCCGCCACCCATGCCTGCACGTCCCTCCCACGGTCGTGGCCACATATGGGGGGCTCCACCGAAGGTCCCACTGGCGCAGCCCGCATGCGTCCCCGCCACACCCATGCAACTACGGCCCCGCCCGCATGGCACACATCTTTCACGCGCTGCATGGCCCCAGAAGGAGTTCCACTGAAAACGAGACTCACAACGACGGAACTGAACATGGTGGGGTCCTTCGCCAGGCTAATTCCCAACAGTCCTGTGGAGTTGGGTCCTCGTTTTGAAAAGACAACGCCTCGCGTTCCCCAATCCTCCTCTTCCCCCTCCTCATCCTCCGCACGTCAGCCTCGGCAAAACCCTAACACGTTTCGTGGCCCCCCAGGGAGCCCCACCGAAGGTCCCAATGGCGCAGCCCGCATGCGGTCCTGCCACCCATCTCGGCATACCCCTCACACGTTTCATGGCCCCATACGGAGCTCCACCGAAGGTCCCCATGGCGCAGCCCGCATGTGTCCCCGCCGCCCATGTCAGCACACCCCTCACTCGTTTCGTGCCCCCACGGGGAGCATCACCGAAGGTCCCAGTGCCACCGCCCGCATGCAGTCGCGCCAGTCATTTCGGCACACCCCTCATACGTTTCGTGGCCCCACAGGGAGCTCCACCGAAGGTCCCAATGGCGCAGCCCGCATGCGGCACCGCCGCCCATGTCAGCACACCCCTCACTCGTTTCGTGCCCCCTACGGGGAGCATCACCGAAGGTCCCAATGCCATCACCCGCATGCAGTTGCGCCAGTCATTTCGGCACACCCCTCATACGTTTCGTGGCCCCACAGGGAGCTCCACCGAAGGTCCCAATGGCGCAGCCCGCATGCGGCACCGCCGCCCATGTCGGCACAACCCTCACTCGTTTCGTGGCTCAGGGAGCTCCACGGAATGACCCAATGGCGCAGTCCGCACGCGGTCCCGCAACCCATTTCGGCACACCCCTCGCAGTTTTCGTGGCCCCGTACGAGGCTCCAGCGAAGGTCCCAATGGCGCAGCCCGCATGCGGTCCCGCCACGCCACCCCTTATTCCTCCTCTTCCTCGTCCTCGTTGCCATCTTGACTCCCCCCCCCTCCTCCTCCTCCTCCTCCTCTTCCTGCTCCTCTTCCTCCTCCTCGTCCGCGTCCTCCTACTCATCCATCCATCTTCCGAATTAACCTCTCCTCGTCCCTTCTCTATCTCCTCGTAGTCCCCCTCCCCCTCCTTGTGGCCCTTCCGCCCCCGCTCTTCTTCCCCTCCTCTCCCCTCCTTCTTATCGTGATCCTCGTACTCCACTTCAAGATTCTTCCTCCGGATCACCCAGGGGAGATGGATGGAAAGAGGGACAGGAAATTAGCCAGGCGAAGGACCCAACAATTTGCAGTTGCGAGTACCATCTTGGTGAGTATCGCCTTCGGCGGAGCTCCCTCCCTATGGAGCCACGAAGCGTGTAAGGGGTGTGCCGAAGTGGTTGGGATTGCCGCTTGCGACATGTGGAGCTCCCTGTCGGGCCACGAAACGCGTGAGGGGTGTGACGAGATGGGAGGGCGGCCGCATGCGGGCTGCGCCACTGGGACCTTCCGTCGAGCCCCCTGTGGGGGCACGAAACAAGTATGGTGTGTGCCGAAATGGGTGGCGAGAACGCATGCGGGCTGCGCCACGAGACTGCATGCGGGCTGCGCCATTGGGACCTGCGGCGGAGCTCCCTATGGGGCCACGAAGCGTGTGAGGGGTGTGCCGAAATTATGAAGAGGTACACGTCGAGAAAAGGCTATATGACATCTAACGCACAAACTTGCCCGCCCCTGAAAGTAGGCGACCCTGGCGATTCTGGATGCACTGGCGCTGACCGTTTCAGGCTGGTCATTCTTTGTTTCCGTTCCGTACACGTAATAGCGACCCCATGCAATAATGATCTTCAGTGAGCGGCTTTGGGGGGGCTCCCGAAGCCCGGCGCAAGCGCGCAAACCGCTGTTGTCGCATCGCATCAAGGATCGGTCGGGCGCGCCTGGCACCAAATGCCATTCTGGCGACGGGCGGCTCTTACGTGTCAACGATTCCGTCGAGCTTCCACTGGCTCCCGGAGGCCCTCCGCCTGACCTCCGCCAGCCCTCCGCAGGGGGCGAGCCTCTCAGCTCCTCGGAAGCTAGGCGCCGTGCCTTGACCGCCCCCGTGCGTCGGCCGCAGACCCTTCTCTGCCGGGCGCGCTCGGTGGGGGGGGGCTCGCTGCCGCTGCGAGGTGTAGAACCCTGGCGGCGGCGGCCTCGCGTACGGGGAGGAGGGAGGCGGGACAGATGATGATGCTGCTGCTGCTGATGATGATGATGATGATGGTGATGATGATGGCGATGATGATGACGATGATGATGATGACGATGGTGGTGATGCTGATGATGCTGATGAATATGAACATGATGATGATGATGATGATAACGGTAATGATGATGCTGATGATGATGATGACGATGAGGATCATGATGATGGTGATGATGACGATGGTGGTGATGCTGATGATGATGATGATGCTGAAATGATGGTGGTGATCGTGATCATGCTGATGCTGGTAATGATGGTGATGATGACGGGGCTGCTGTTGCTGATGATGCTGGTGGTGATGATGATGATGGTTGTGAAGTTGTTGTTCGTTGCTGTTGATTTTCTTTTCCCCCCCTGCGCGCTCATTGTTCGCATCGACCAGTGCGGGGCTAAAGGCACCTCCCCAGCGGCCCGCGACACAGGAAAGCACCCCCCCGAAGAAAAGGAACTGGCCGAAGGCGAAGCCCAGGATAACCCGTCAGGCCGACTAGCGGCGCGGCGGCCAAGTGGAAGCCCAGCGCGCCGCCGAACAGTTTCGGAGGCCAGTCGGCGCATAGCGCGCCACGTCCAGGAAGCCGAAGGCGTACCTGAGAGGGTGGTTCACAATCTTCACACGCAATTGTCCATCAAGTCGCCTGTATCCGCAGCCAACGAGATCGAGGCCCGACGGGAGGACGACCAATGAAGAACCCCCAGCAGAGTGCAAGAGGATGCTCTTGCCATCGCTGTTCGCCTGCACGCTGCAACCAACAGGTGTAGCGACGGCTCGCGATCATCGAGAAGCTCGCGTCCAACACCAGCAGGCGCGCGAACGTCATCACCAGCAACAAACCGTTCGCGAGAGACTGGATCGGGTAGTCGATCGACAACTTGCGTGTTGCGCAATGCACTGCGTAGCTGAACAACAGGAGGGCCGACAGCAACGGGCACGAACTCCAACGACTTCGCCTTGAATTGGAAAGCTGGGGCGGCAGGAAGCGGAAGCCCCCAACGATGGTCTGCGGCAGCATCTTCTCGGATCTCGCATCGCGTTCTCGGCGCCTTGGCAGGGGGCAGTGCAGCAGTCGCCGCCCATGAATCTCCAGCGCCAGAAACGTGCCAAGGATCACCTCCATCAGCAGAACCTCCAGGTGGGGCGCGCACACGACGTCGGTCATGAGAACCCAGGAGGTCAGCCCCAGCATCAGGAGGACCTCCCAGGCCGTTGCCATCGGGACCACGCGGCGGCGCAGTAGTGCTAGCTGTCCGCGCAGATTTCCACAGGCCAATCTCGCTCACGTTGGTGCCAACATGCGGGTGCCTGCGATCCACCGTCGCGTACTGTGGGCACAACCCGATGATGTTGGACAAACTGGGCGAGCATGACCTCGCGCGCCGTGTCGGCTACCGACGGCTCGTCATGAGCCATTCTCAGATTGATCTTGCTTTTGCCAACGGCCGAGGCGGAGGACACCGAGAGGTGCACGGGCGTGCTCGCAGCGGCATGCCGATAAGCCCATGCGAGACGAGCCAGAACCACCATCCAACGACAGCCCGCTGGCCTCGCAGGTGCGAGGAGGAAGCCACTGAAACAAATTGCTTGCACCCAAACGTCTATGATGATGGTGATGATGTTGATGATGATGATGCTGCTGATGCTGATGATGATGCTGATGATGACTCTGATACTGATAATGATGCTGATGATGCTGATGATGCAGATGAACAGGATGATGATGATGCTGATGATGATGATGATTTTGATGACGATGCCGATGATGATGATGATGATGATGATGATGATGATGCTGATGATGGTGGTGATGACGATGATGATGATGATGCTGATGATGATGCTGATGAATCTGAACATGATGATGCTGATGATGATGATCATCATCATGATGCTGCTGCTGCTGCTGATGATGATGATGATGATGATGATGATGATGATGATGATGATGATGATGATGATGATGATGATGATGATGATGATGATGATGATGATGATGATGATGATGATGATGATGATGATGATGATGATGATGATCGGGCGAACGTGAGACGGAGAGGAGGAGGAGGAGGAGGAGGAGGAGGAGGAGGAGGAGGAGGAGGGGCAGGAGGAGGACGGGGGTCGATGAGGTGGAGGATGATCTGATGGTTTTGTCGTTTTTGGACTATCTTGGGCCTTTGGAGACCTCCAGGAATCTCGGGGGAGCCCGTGGGATCGCCAGAGACCTCCACAAAAGCGAGCACACGCCCAGGAGAGCATGCCGGATCGTCACCGCCGGGGGTAGCGCGCGTCCTGGCGCTGTGCCCTCCGGCGTGCGAGCCGCCCGAGGCGGCGGGGCAGCATCGCTGGAAGTCTGAGGCGCACGCCGTGCCAAGAGCTCTCAAGGCTCTGGCCACGCACGGGCAAAATGGCTGTGTCTGCCTCACTGCCCGTGTCTGGGCTGCCCGTCCGCGCGCGCTCGCGGGGCGGTCAGCCGAGCGGCCGTCGAAGTCGTATTGCCTGAAGCAGCGGTCAGGGCAGAAGGGCGAGGCGGAGCATGAGGAGGAGGAGGAGGTGGAGGAGGAGGAGGAGGAGGAGGGGGGAGGAGGAGGAGGAGGAGGAGGAGGAGGAGGAGGAGTAGGAGGAGGAGGAGGAGGCGGAGGAGGAGGAGGAGGAGGAGGAGGAGGAGGAGGGAGGAGGAGGGGAGGCGGAAGCGGAGGAGCCAAGCGTCACTGCTGCCAGCTGCGGCCCTCCCCCGAGCGGTGCCTCGTGCTGCCTGCCGCTCTGTGACTGCTTTGCCCCTCCCCTTCCTGCACGGTTGCTGCATCTGCATGCTCACGTTGCTGCTCGCACAGCTCCCAACTGACGGCTCCATTACTTCAGTGCGGCTGGCCAGCTGACGAGAGGAAGAGGATGCCAGTAGGATGATGATGACGATGCTGATGCTGATGCTGATGCTGCTGATGATGATACTGATAATGCTGATTATGCTGATGACGGCGATACTGCTGTTGTTGATGATGATGCTGCTGATGATGATGTTGATGATAATAAGGGGGATGCTGATTACGATGATGAGGATACTGATGAGGAAGAGAGGACGAGGAGCAAGTGGGGAGCATGAGGAGGAGGAACCATATGAGGACGCGGGAGGATGAGACGGAGAGGAGGAGGAGAATGAGGAGGATGAGAAGGAAGAGGAGGATGAGGATGAGGATGAGGATGAGGATGCTGATGCTGCTTATGATGATGAGGATGACGATGCTGATGATGCAGATGATGCAGATGATGATGATGCTGCTGCTGCTGATGATGATGATGATGATGACGAGGAGGAGGAGGAAGAAGAGGAGGAGGAGGAAGAGGAGGAGGAGGAGGGAGGAGGAGGAGGATGAGGAGGAGGAGGAGGAGGCAGAGGAGGAGGAGGATGAGGGAGGAGGGGGAGGAGAAGGAGGAGGAGGAGGCGGAGGAGGAGGAGGAGGAGGAGGAGGAGAGGAGGAGGAACGGATGAGGAGAAGGAACGGAGGAGGAACGGAGGAGGAGGAACGGATGAGGATCAACGGAGGAGGAGGAAGAGGAGGAGGAACGAAGAAGGAGGGAGAGGAAAAGGATGATGAGAGGTCGAAGAAGGACCGATACACATGATGATAACTAATCAGATGAGGACGCGGGAGGATGAGACGGTGAGAAAGGGGAGGAGGTGGAGGAGGAGGAGGAGGCGGATGCTGATGATGCTGCTGATGATGATGCTGATGACGATGATGATGCTGATGATGCTGCTGATGCTTATGATGCTGATGCTGATGCTGATGCTGCTGCCGATGATGATGAGGAGGAGGAGTAGGAACGGGGGATGATGAGGATGAGGAGGAGGATGGTAAGTGAGGAAGCGACGGGAGGAGGAGGAGGAGGAGGAGGAGGAGGAGGAGGAGGAGGAGGAGGAGGAGATGGGAGACGACGGGAGGAGAATGAATAGACGGGAGGAAGAGGATGAGGAAGAGGAGGAGGATGAGGAGGAGAAGGAGGAGGAGGAGGAGAAGGAGGAACAGGAGGAGGAAGCCCCGTCCCTTCTCCCCAGACCTCTGAGTATGAGTTTCCGATACGGGGTTCCTGGGGCTCTGGCCATCTCGAGTCTTTGACGGCCCTGGAGCCCGAAAGAAACACGCACCTCCAAAAGTCGAATCTGACGAACACCTACCGACTTGTTTCCCCAGGCATTGGAGGTCGCCGCTGGAGAGGCCTCCAGGAACACAACATAGGGCGATAACCGCCCAAATCCCTCAATGCCAAAGCCTTCTCGAACATCCCAGCCTCGCCGAGGACCTTCCTGCAACCCCTCGGCCAAGCATGACGGCTGCAAGGAGGGGTCCAACGTATCTCCACCGTTGCACCAACCAAAACATTAATCAACCGCTTGCCATCTGTTCTGTGGCGGCGCGCAGGAGGGGGTTGGCGCGAGGGGGGAGTGGCCTTCTCAGAGGGCCAGCGCCTCCCCAGGGAGGGCCCAGCTCTTCGAAGCCAGGACGCCCCCCCCCCCCCCGCCTGCTGAGCAGGCCACCCTCCTCCTCCTCCTCCTGCTCCTCCTCCTCCTCCACCTCCTCCACCTCCTCCTCCTCCTCCACCTCCACCTCCTCCTCCTCCTCCTCCTCCTTCTCCTCCTCCTCTCAACTGACGGCCGCCGCCGTCACAAGAAAGCTGAAAGTCTTTTCTGCCCGAAACTCAAGAGCTCTGAAACCGAAACGGTTGCGGTCGAATCGGCGTCGGCGAGAGAGGGGCATCTCGGGGGGCCAGGGAGACAGTGTCGATTTCAACACCCGTCCTCGCTGTCGCACTGGCCCGAAACACGAAACACGAAATCTCGAGCGTAGCTTCATTGATACGGAAATGGCCCAGCTGGGCCAAACATGAAAGGCGATCTGGGTAGATCGCAACTCAGGCCACGCGGGGCTGATCCCCGCGCGAAGCTCGTACCGCACAGGACAGGCCCTCGCGCACAGATGCAACGGGCTGGGTCCTGCGCTCATCGGCACGGCGCCGCCGTGCAGCACGGATGGCCTCCTTCGTGGCCGCCGCCTCGGAGGGAACAGTCGTCGTCACGTAGCCGTCGCGCATGGCGTTCGTCAGGTAGCTTCTCTCCGCTTCGAGCTTCGTCAGCGCATCCGCAAGCTGCACACTGGTGTCGCACCACTCCAGGTCGACTCCATCTTGGCTTAGAAGCTCTCGAAGCGAGGCCACCACCACACGAACACGGCGATCGGCAACCTGACCAGCGTCCGCCAACAAGTGGCTCACCAGGCTGTTAGCGTCGTCGAACCACTTGGCTGGCATCAGCGTCGCACTGTCGTGAACCAACTCTGCGATCGGCTGGTTCGGCTTGTCCATCTCGTAGTACAACGCCCTGACCCACTCCAGCGCCTCCGCGCCTTCGGTCAAGCCGTGGGCCTCTGCCGCCATCGATGCCCGGCAGACTCTCCGAATCTTGGAGCTGCCCCAGTCCGAGAAATGAGCAGGTCCACCACCGTCCTTGTACAGGCCGTCGTCGCACACCAGGCACACGAAACCGCACTGCGACCTCACCTTCTCGCCCAGCGCTCCGAACTTCTTCTCGTCGATGTTGTTGCGGCTGCTGTCGGCGAACACACACCCACGAAGGTCGGTGTCGTTCTTGATGAAGTCGCTATGGAAGTGTAGGCACACGTCCTTCGTCTCATGGCAGTACCGCACCAGCTTGCTCATCTCCAGTAGGTCCTGCACCGTCATAGTGTTCTTCTGCTGTGCGAGCCAACTGTAGCCGAAAGAGGCGTCCATCCGCAGCTGTCGCGAGAGCCATCCCAGTGAACCAATCACCGACTCTGCAAAGCTATTCTCCTCGTCCGTAGCCAGCGCCTTGATCTGCTTCCGCCTTGCCGGTAGCATCGGCAACTCCTCCATCTGCTCCACGAAGTGCTGCATCGAGACCCTGATCGAGAAGTCCCTTGCCTGCTCCACGTCCTTGCCGCAGTACCTGAAGGGCGGCTTCTCTTCCGTCAAGAGTAGTACCTTATTGAGCTCGTCCGTCGTGTCGTTGTAGAGCTTGCTGTTCGGATCTCCGGTCGCGAACAGGTCGTCCACGTATGCGCCGATAAGGCCAACGAGGATGTCACCCTCGAAGAGCATGAAGAAGGCTCTCTCCAAGCGGCTCTCCTGCCACGAGTTGCCGCGCAGCGTCCTTCGTAGCTTACTCCACCACCTCCGTCCAGCGTCCTTGGTACCATAGATCGCTCCGTGGCACACGAACAGGGGACCAGGTGGTACTCCAGGAGGTAGTGGTGAGAGCGGTCGTAGTACCAGCATACGGTCAACATCATCTCCTTGTAGGTAGGCGCTCGTCGCGTCGAGCTTCGATAGTAGCCAGTGCTTCCTAGCCGCCGTGCTGCAGATCAAGTGGAACACCAGCAGGGAAGATGTGGGCGAATCCGTCCGGACATGCACCGACTCGTAGCAGCCAACCGCCACCAGCCTCGACTTCGCCTTGAGCGGTAGCTTGGGGTCGTACTCGTTCTTGTTGGTGTGAACCCACCTCGACGGAATAGGCTTCGCCCTCTTCAGCAGCTCCTTCGCATCGTCTCC